CAGGGTCCCTGTGCTTTGCTTAGCTTAGCTTGTTCTAAGTAGGTGCTTTAGACCACTGAGCCATCTCACCAGCTCCTCAACAGACTTTCAATGGTATTTTCTTATAACACTTTTTTAAAAATAGGCTGGCTGGGCCAGGGAGATGGCTCAGTGGAATAAGCGCTTCCCTGGCAAGCGCAAGGGCCCGAGTTCAATCCCTGGTTCCGAAGGGAAAAAAAAAAAAAAAAGGCTGGCTTAAATATCCATGACCCTAACCCTCTTACCTGGCACTCTTGGTTATCTTTATAAGCAGCTAGGGCCTTCAGATATTCTTTCTTGGCAGCTTCAGTTTTCCTTTTATACACCTACAAGAGAGATTTTTAAAAGTCTCTATTCTCTTCACAAAGGACTGATAATTCTGTACAAAATTCCTCAGTGAGTGACAAGTCATCTCAATTTGACCAATGACAACTGTGTTAGTAAGAACAATTAAAGACTGTCCCCCTGGCTATGTCCCTCTGAAAGAATCAACCAATCCACAAGAGTCTTGCCAGAATACCTACACCTCAATGTATGCTTAAGTCCCTAAGAAAATCAAATCCTGGGCAGCAAGATAGCTCAGCAGCCTAAAGTGCCTGCTCAGGCAAGTGCAGGGATAGTGCTTCAAACCCCGGTTCAATCCCTGGATCCCTGGCACCACATGCCACGCCAGCCCTGCTGCTAGGGTGGGCTGAGCTGGGCACAAGGAAAAAAAAATGCTGATCAAAAACTGTATGATCAGTGGTCTGCTTAGCCTATGACTGTCCCTATCTAGCATACTCTGCCTTAAACATAGTACACTCTATAAAGATAGCTGTGAGAATTTTTCGGGGCTGGGGAGATAGCTCAGCAGTATAAGCTCCTTCCTGGCAAGCGCAAGGTCCTAAGATCTATCCCAGGGACCACAAAAAGAAAAAAAGAATTTTTCTTGTGTATGAGCCCCTTCTATCAAAAGCTAAAGCCTCCTTCTTTTATTTTTTTTGGTCTTTTTGAGACAGGATCTTACTATGCAGTTCAGGCTGGCCTTGAACTCAGTTTGTAGCCCATTTTGGTCTAGAAGGAACTACACGGTATGCAGCCACATTCAGCTTCCTGCTTCCTCTTTAAATCTGAGCTTGCTCTGAGATTTGTTTGATCGTAAGAATATGCTGAACTAACACTACAACTTAAGAGACCCAGAGGCATCTATTTTCAAGTTCTTGGAATGCTGGCCATACTGTAAAGAAACCAGTCTAGCCCACTTGGGAGATGAGAAGCCACAAGAAGAACCACCAACACATTTTGGCTAACAGGTAGCACCAACTGCTAGACATGTGAAGGTCATCTGATTACAACTACAATGACGAGGTCAGGCAAGAATACTAGGAAAATTACCTAAACTCATGGGATCATGAAAAACAAACTGAATTTTATTAAGTGATTAAGTTTGTGATCGCTTCTTTTGCAGCAACAAGAAGCAGATATAATAAATTTAGTTTTACTTTTAATCATGTATTTATTTATTTGGTATAGGGTCTCACAGTGATCCTCCTCTCTCAGCTTCCTTCCCCAACACTAGATTACAGGCACCTGCCACCACACCTAGTTTCAGTGGCTGGCACAGTGTGCCCGAGGTTGTGGGTGGGAATGGCATTTGGTATCTGGAATCAAACCTTTCATTTACCAGGCAGGCATTTAGATTACCAAGCTATTCTCCCTAGCCCGCCCCACAACCTTTTTATTAAAATATTAAATCCAGAACATATTTGACAAGACTCAGGAAATTGGGGTAATCATAATTAGTCATCTTCAATTCAATTTTATTTTGTATTTCTACAGTATCAATATGATTTTTTTGAGACGAGGCCTTCCTATGTTGCCCAGGTTAACTCCAAATTCCTGCACTCAAGGAATATTCCTGTCTCACACGACATCCATTTACCACATCCATTTATTTTCCTCTGAAACAGGATCTCATTATACAGCTCAGCCTGGCTTTGAACTCACTCTGTAGTCAAGCTGGCCTCAAACTCACAGCAATCCTCCTAGCTCAGCCTCCCAAGAGCTGGGATTACAGGTGTGTGCCACCATACCCAGCTAGTTTATCATTTAAATTGATTAAATTCTGAGAGATTATGTAGTTTTCAATTTGTATCAGGCCAATGAGAAAACTAAAAGAAATCCTAAATCCAAACTTTTATAGTTAGCATCAACATGGAACCTTCTGAAGAAGAGTCTAAATTTATAAATAGGGAAATTATGAGGTTTAGAAAAACTAAATTACCATACATCAAATTGTTAAAAATACACAAGGAATTATAAAAATTTACAAGTAATCTTGCATACAGCTGCAATTTCTAAGGAGGTTGTGTCAATGCCATTGACAAAAATGTGAAAAACTACATGTGTGGATGTTAGAAGAAAATCTCTTAATTAAAAACTTTTGCAACATTCACTATCCATGCATTTTCCTCACCTGTTTCTGCTCTTCTCCAAGACTGTCCCACATAGAAGCCACAATTTTTGAAACTTCTCCAAAAGTGGCATTAGGATTCTGTCCTTTGATGGCAGCCTGTGTGTCACGAAAAAATAAAGCATATGCTGAAACTGGTTTCTGGGGTTCATTAGGATCTTTCTTTTTCCTCTTCTTTGGGGCCTTCTGCTTCTTCCCTGCTTCCACTACAACTGTCTTCTGGGTGGGAAGTTGCTGTAGGAAAAACAAGAGAAAGAATTACAAGATGGAAGAAGGGAGTATTGTGTCTGATACAAACTGGATGAAAAGGTTTTTATATGGGGGAATTAGTCACATGTATGGAATTTATAGTAAAATCAAAAGTAATGGGTTTAGGACCAGAGAGATGGCTCAGTAGAATAAGCACTTGCCTGGCAAGTGCACAGTCCTGAGTTCAATCCACAGGACCTCAAAAAAAAAAAAAAGTAATGGGTTTAAAAGTAAAGTATGGGGCTGGTGAGATGGCTCAGTGGTCTAAAGCACCTACTTAGAACAAGCTCAGCAAAGCACAGGGACCACGGTTCAATCCCCCAGCACCACATGCCAGCCAGCCCACCCCTGGTGGGCTGAGCTGGCCACACACACACACACACAA